AAAAAAAAAAAAAAAAAAAAAAAAAAAAGGAGAAAAGGAAGAGGAAGAAGAGGAGTCGGAGAGAGAGGGTTGTATACTTGATTTTGTGTAACAATGGTAGAGCTGGCCAGGACAAGAGACCAGAGGGGCTGTTCTGTGGCCCTGGGAAAGGGGAGCCCTGGGCACAGACCCTTTGCTTTTGGTCTTCACCCTTGCTGCCCTCTCGCCTCCTTCTGAAATGCTGACTGCTCTTTCCTGGGAATCTTTAATCCCCTTGCTGGCTCTAGCTCCCAGAGAGTGACTCAGGCCTATAGGACAGTTAGGGTTGGGTGACTGAATGGGCCAAAGGCACAACCTGGCCAGGGAAGGATGGGCGCTTTCCCACAGCATGCACCAGGTTTGGGGCTGACTGACAGGAGCCTCAGAATCCATAATCCTGGTTGAATGCAAGGGCTTTGCCACCCTCACCAGAAAGCCCTGGGCAAACACGTCTTCCTTGCTCCACACCTGCAGGAGCTCATCCCTCTGTGTTGAGGTTGGGACAACTGCCAAAGGCAAAGGGTCATGGTGGGCAGTGGGGAGTGGTGTGTATGGTGGGGGTGGGGGGCAGGGGGCAAGCTTTTAGCTGTCACTGCCAGGTAGAACCTTACTCTGTCACCTGCTGCTGAGCTGGTAGGAAGGAGACAACTTTGCCAGAAAGAATGTCTTTCCTCTGCCTCTCCCTTCACCACAGGCTGCAAAGTGGTCTTCCTTGAGAAGTCCTTCCTTAAATCTGCCTTCAGTTTCTTATGCTTAAGTTGAGGATTTTGTCAATGTCTGGCAATTTCAATTTAATAATAAGGCCACAGGGTATGGCTCTAGATTAGAACTTCCTACTTGATCTGGCACTGTTATAGGATTTGCCATTAAACTAATTTGGGTTTAGTTAACAGGAGAACACAGGACTGGTCCCCCAGGACAATGTCATACCATACTGATTGCCTGCAAGAATAGGGACACATAAACCAAGCACACAATCATGAAACAAGAGTAAGGACAGAAAGGAACTGGGCACACACCTTGTTGCTAAGACTCTTGTGTCATCTTGCTGGGTCTACCTGAGTTGCTGAGGATCTTTTCTTTGCTCTGAGGATTCTGTGTACGGCAGCATCACCCATATAAAATTTTGTGGTGCAGAGGTTAAGGTCATAAGCATTGATATCAGATAGGATAGGCTTCCCATCTCCATTACTTGCTAGCTACGTGATCTCAGGCAGGAAAGTTTTCAACTGTGGCTCCACACTTTGTATCCCACAGGCATTACATAAGTCTGATTGCTAATTATACAAGATTTTTTCTGAAAATTCCCTCTTGCTCTCTTTTTAAACCTAATCTGACCACAGCTCTGGACTCAGTACACCTGCAACATTTTCTTGCAGTACTGGAGTGGTACAGCCACAGGTACAAGACCCCAGGGACAGGTCGAGAGTCATTCTGGGCTTTGCCTCTGCTAAGACAAACTCTCCACCAAGGCCCTGAGAGTTGCTCAAACCCTAGCGGCAGTGCAGGACGGAGTGGTGGGTAACAGATGCAGAAATGGAGGTGAGCAATCAGGGTCTGACACCCTTGCCAATCCTTCCCTTCCTCTTTGGGAAGGGCACCAGGTAATCAGATCTCAGCTTCTCAGGGGGTGAGTCTGCTCCTGCACCCCCCCAGATGTGGAGCAGCTCCCTTCTTCTTCACTGTGTGCCCAGTCAGCAGAACCTTGCCCCTTTGTCCTGACCAGCTGTCCCAATCAGGTTTGTTTGCAGTCTGATTCTGGACTGGCTGGATCACACAGCAGACAGACTGACTTCATACCAGCCAGCATGGTGCTGGCCAAAGGCCGTGAGGTGTGAAGACTTTGGGACTAGGCTGATGTGGATTCAAGTCGTGACTCTACCACATGCTTTGCAAACCCAGGAAGCTATTTTATCTGCCTGAGCACCCATGAGTAGTGCTAATGCTGCCAACTGCAGAGACCCTTTAAGAAGATGCATTGACCTGCTGTATGCAAATCAGGTATCCTGCATACTGCTTGGCTCAGCAAATTCTGGTGGGAAGGATGCTTGAGTGCTCAATGCTTTCCCTGGTTAGACCTGGGTCCTACTCATCCAACAGTAGGTGGTCCTGGCTCTGGAAGGCTCTCTGCTGCGGGTGGACCAACCTATTACTCCAGCCTCCTCTTGTGGACATCTGATGGGGCCTGGGCCTCTGGTTCTCACAGCCACAGCCCCAACGCCGCTTGAGTACCTAGAGGCCATCTGGGCAGCCACAGGGTGAGTTAGCCAGACTGAGGCAGAGCAGAGGTGGAGGGGAGGAGAAGGAACTGGCTGAACTCCCTGTTGGTCTGTCCCTGTGCTTGGGGCCTGGACCTAAGCACCCACTCCTCACCTGCGGACTCATTTCCTGTATGGAGAGATCCAGCTGTGGCCTGCTTTCATTTTGCCTAGGGCAGCTTGGGCCCATGGGATTATCCAGATGGTAGTCACTGCTCTTTCTCAGATCTGGGGTCATTTCCTTCATGAAGGACAGAGGAGATAAGGAGAACAGGGCTGGGTATTTAGCTCAGTGGTTCCGGCGCCTGCCTCACAAGTGCGAGGACCCAAGCACAATCTCCAGTACCAAAATCCAAAAAAAAAAAAAAAAAAAAAAAAAAAAAAAAAAAAGGAGATAAGGACAACATAGGTCTATCTAATAGCCACTAATAAGTGACAATGGCAGGGCCTGGGAAGAGATTTCATGCTCGCTGACCTCTGTGCTAGGTTCCATAGGTACATTATCCCATCAGTGTAGCCCTGTGTTCAAAATGAGTAGATGTCTTGGATGGGTTCAGAGAGGTTAGGTGATCTGCCCAAGGCTGCATAGTTAGTAGCAACAGGTGGAATCTGAATACAGATCTATTGCTCTCAGTGGGAAAGAACTTAAGTTGGGGCTTAAAACTGGGATTTTGCATGTAGAACTATGGCTCTGAGAAGGGGACACTTGGTTCCACCATTCTGCCAAAGTGTCACCCTCCACATCACAAATTTCTGTCCTAAATACTGGGACCATTCCCGGAATCAGGATCTGTTCTGTTCTAGAGGAGCGAAGCAAACTACAAGGCAGCAAAGGGAGCAGCAGGCAGCACCCATCAGATCCTGGAGTGGGCTCTGCTAGTGCAGTGATAGCAAACACTGGTGGAGGCTGAAGAAGCAGCAGAAGTTCTGGGGGCCTGAGCAGAGGGCCAGGGTCATAGTGCCACCTCCTGTCCCTGCTCAGTACCTGGCTCCATGCCTGGCTGGTCCGTGAGGGATGTCTGGATGTGGCCGCTCCACTGTGTGCACATGGGGCCAAGCCCACTGGAGGGAGAGGAACAGTGGTGACAAACTACCAAGCACTGTTAGTCATGGTCCACTCTCTCCTGGAAAGGGGGAGGCAAATATTTGTGTTATTTCCAGTTTATGAGTAAAGCGACTGACTCTCAGAGGATGACTTGCTTAAGGTGTGCAGAGTGGGCAGGAGGCCTCGAACCTAGGCCCTTGAGTCCAAAATCCTGCTGTGGAAGAGAATGGCAATGTGGCTCTTGCCTGGAGTAGTGACCACTGTGGGGCTGGTGAGGTGGGAAGGTACTAGGGGGCCTTCGGGGCAGGATCTGGGTTGGGCTTCTGACCCGGGAGATTCTCCTAGAGGGGAATGGGACAGGAGCCAGGAACCTGTGCCCTCCCAGTGACTTCTGAAGGTGTGTTTAGTGACATGCTTAGCAGGTGTGAGGATGGGCTGGTGCCAAAGGCCAAGCCCAGAGATGTTTTGGATTTTTCTCTTTATACCCCTGCAACCAAGCCCTGCTGCTCCAGCCCATATAAAGGACCCAGGCTGAGGGCTGTGGCATTCACGGGTCTGGCCTTCTCGCCTCTGTTTGGTATCTCTGAGCTTGCCCTCCTCTCTCAGCCATGATTGCCAGACAGCAGGGTATCCGGGGCACATCCCGGGGCTTTAGCAGTGGCTCGGCCATCATTGGCGGGGGCAAGAGGGTCGCCTTCAGCTCAGCCTCCATGTCTGGGGGTACAGGGCGCTGCTCTTCTGGGGGTTTTGGCAGCAGAAGCCTCTACAACCTCAGGGGGAACAAGAACATCTGCAGCGTGGCTGGGTCTCCCCAAGGTTCTGGCTTTGGGTGTGCTGGGGGTTATGGCACTGGCAGTTTTGGTGCTGGTTTCGGCATTGGCGGCTTTGGTGGTGGATTTGGAGGCTCCTTCGGTCGTCGGGGTGGTGCCGGCTTCCTAGTGTGCCCTGCTGGAGGGATTCAGGAGGTCACCATCAACCAGAGTCTTCTGACCCCGCTCCATGTGGAAATTGACCCTGAGATCCAGAAAGTCCGGACTGAGGAGCGGGAGCAGATTAAGACCCTCAACAACAAGTTCGCCTCCTTCATCGACAAGGTGCGTGAGCTGTATCCTGGATTGGAGAGAGGAGGCTGAAGCCAGAGCTTCTGTGTCCCAAGAGCTCAAATATTAGCCCATTCAAGGCCTGGACAAAAACCATGGAACTTTGCTGAGCTTCTGTTTCAATGTAAAGGGGAATCGTCACTCCAGATCTTCCTCTTTTGCCCCACGCCTATGGGCTGACCTGGTGCTCAAAGCAGGCCTGTAACTGCAACCTGTGACAGGCTGTGCATAGTGGGCAAATGGCTTGATTTTGCTGGCTCTAGCCATCCCAGCTATAAAGTGGGCCTTGCTTTTTCTTAGGTTTTAGTTTTGGAAATTACTAACCCCATTAATTTCACTATTTGCACTTCTGTTCTGAGAGCAGAAGAAACTGAACAGGTTTTGCAGATGAAAAAGTGACTGATTCCTATGACAGATTCTGGGTCTCAGAGGAATCTTGGGAGGCCTCCTCTTTCAGTCTCCTGAGTGGGCAAAACCTCTCATTTCTGGTCCGTTTAAAGAGAAGAGGAAAAAAATTTTTTTTTCCCCAATGTATTCCTATGACAGATTCTGGGTCTCAGAGGAATCTTGGGAGGCCTCCTCTTTCAGTCTCCTGAGTGGGCAAAACCTCTCATTTCTGGTCCGTTTAAAGAGAAGAGGAAAAAAATTTTTTTTTCCTCCCAATGCTGGGCATTAAACCCAAGGCCTTTTCTCTGAGCTACATCCCCAGCTCCTTTTAAAAATTTTAAATTCTGAGACAGGGTTTTGCTAAGTTGTCCACACTGGGCTCAATCCTTCTACCTCAGCTTCCCAGAGCTACAGGCATTTACCCCCATGTCCAGCTAATGTTCTCTTTTTGGAGCCCAACTTCCTTTTTCATGCAGCCTGGAGATTAAAGTTGTGAAAACTCAATGACAGCTAAGTGTGATGGATGATAGTGAGCAGATCAGCCTGGGGAGCTGAGTCACCCAAAGATGATGGGGTGGATGAGTGTAGCCCTTGGGTCCAGGCTGTCTTGGGTTGCAGTGTATCAAAGTCTTAGGCCTCTTACCTGTTTGGGGACAAAAGTGAATAATCCCGGAGGATAGGCAGACATGAAAGCAAGATTAAGGGTTCTTCATCATTTCCCTGTCTTCTCTCCTTTATCTTACCTTTGGGTTCAGAAGGTGATCAGTCTCCTTTAGCTTTGCTTTACTGAGAAGCTCCTAAGGTGGAGACGTTATCTAAGCTACTTCCTTGGCTTCTCTGGCTGAATCTTCTCACAGAGTGAGGGAAAGTGCTGAGAAGTTCCCAGAAGTCTGGCTTTTTACCAAGACTCTAAATAAAGATGGCCTTTGTGCACAGGTTCAGGGACATACCAGGTCCACTGATAGCGAACTTACTTCAAAAGTCTTTAGTGAGTGTGTCTTTTCTTTGCCTTGGGTCAATATCACTTGAATGCCAAGGACTCCAACTCTGGTTGTATTTCCTAACTTTATTTTGTTTGATTAATCTGTAGAAGATCTGTGTTGTTCTCTAGTAGCTTCCTTCAAGGCCCATGGGTTCCTGTGCTGAGAAGCTGACCTTGCTGTTGGGCTCTGCCCTGGCTATTCTCTGTTCTACACAGCCCATAGGGCCCTTTGCTGATGTAGGCATGGCAACAGGGCTGCTGTGTGGACTCTAGTGAGAGTTGCCCCGGAATTGTAATGTGGTGGCCTTGCATGTGTGGCTCTAGGTCCACCTGGTTGCTTTGGATTGACAGGGCTGGTGCTGCCCATGGTCAATCCTCCTACATGAGCTTCAGGCCTGCATTAGTTGGATGGCTTGCTTTCCAATACAGGTGCGGTTCTTAGAGCAGCAGAATAAAGTCCTGGAGACCAAATGGAAGCTCCTCCAGCAGCAGACAACTACCACATCCAGCAGAAACCTCGATCCCTTCTTTGAGACCTATATCAGTGCCCTGAGGAAGCAGCTGGATGCCCTGGCCAATGAAAAAGGTCGTCTGCAGTCAGAGCTGAAGATGATGCAGGACAGTGTGGAGGACTTCAAGACCAAGTACGTGAGCATGAAGAACTCTGCCCTCCCTGCCCTACACCCACTGCTTTCCCATGGCCCAGGCTCCCTGGCTGTTCTCCAGTGCTTTAGAATTTAGGGCCTGAAGAACTCCTGAGGGGGCCAGGAAGGTCCTCTACTCTGTCCTTCTCTGCCCACAAAGCCAGGTTTCCATAGACGGAGGTCTAGAAACCCCAGTTACACCAAACAGATAGTTAGTGATACATTCAGGGAACTGGGTTTGCCATACACAAATGGGATTGGAAACTGAATGGATGAAAAGCAGAATACATGGTCAGAAGTATATAGGCTGTAGAGAGAGATGGAGCTGGTTTGAATACTGATTCTTTGCTTATTAGCTGTATGACCTTGGATCAGTTGCTCATCAGCTGAATCTCAGTTTTAAAAAACTTTAATGAGGATAAAAATTTTTAATTTTTAAAATGGGAGTAATGTCCCTGAATTAGGGGTTTTGAGAAATGAATGAAATTAAATATGACGGAGAAAGTATGTAGCATAGAGCTAGACGTAGAATGGACACCAAAACACAGTAACTGTTATTTTGCTTATTATAGTATGGAGCTGAGAAAATAAATACCAACACTCTTTCAACTCATTCACACTCCGAACCAGGGGAACTGAGAGTTTAACCTGCCCAAATGGCCAGAGAAGAATCCTTCCATGGAAAGAAAATCAATTAGATCCTTGGTGAATTTTCTCCTCACCCCTTATTTCTTTTTAAAGTTTTGTTTTAAAATAGCCTTTTTAGGTCTCTGAATAAACCAAGGCCTGGACTATAACCTCACGTGTGGTAATTACTCAGTCAATGTGTATTGAGTGACTCATGGGAAACACAGCTAATCACCTGGACACTTCCACACAGATGATTGAAAACGAATAGCAGAAAGCTGAGAAACACTATCTCATGGTGGGCTTTTCTTTCTTTTCCTCCTCTGCAGGTATGAAGATGAGATCAACAAACGTACGGCTGCAGAAAATGACTTTGTGGTGCTCAAGAAGGTGAGAAATGAAGGACAACAAGGAAGTGCTTCCAGGGAACCCCTTCCTTTGGCTGCAGTCATGGGTTTGTCCTTCTCTGCCTCATCTCCATCTTGCTTAGTGCTATCCAGATCTGTTCTGTCAAAAGAAGAGGTGACAGAACCAAGTTCTGAGGAATTCAGGAGTTTTCTCATTTGGTTTTGTTTTTTGAGACAGAGTCTCACTATGTAGTTGAGACTGACCTGGAACTCACTATACAGCCCAGGCTGGTCTCAAACCCACAGCGATTTTCTGGCCTCAGGCTCCCGATTGCTGGGATTAGAGGCATGCACCACCATGCCGGGCAGGAATTTTTCTCATTTGGACAATAAACTTCTATGTCTTCAGGTAGCTGTAGGGGCAGCATATGACAAATGATCCATTCCTCGCCACTCTAGCTGGTACTGGATAGCCTTTCCTAAATGCAGCTGAGAACATCTTTAGGGGCCAAATGATATCCCTTGTCCCCATTGTAATTCCTAAGCCCCATCTCCCCCTTCCTCTGTCGCAGGATGTGGACGCTGCTTACATGAACAAGGTGGAGTTGGAGGCAAAGGTGGACAGCCTCAATGATGAGATCAACTTCTTGAGGATCCTCTATGAAGCGGTGAGGACTCCCTTTTCCTTTCATTCAGGGGAAGAGGACGCCCTATCTGTGAGGTTGCCTGTTGGTTGAGCGTCACAGTTCTTAGATAAAACTCCAGCTTCCTTGCTTCCTTCTGACAGTAGCTTCTCAGCAGGGTCCTAGGAGGGAAGTGAAAGATCTAACTCAGATATTCTCAAAACCAGATGCTGTCTTAGACAAATTCAGGTGCTGTTTATCCCACAGAGTGTTTGGGATGGAATTCGTTGTGTCTACCATTTTTCTGATGAAGTGGATTGATTCCATTCCCTTCCATCCAACACATTGGGCCCCCTCTGCCTTAGCCATGCAATACTTATGGTCCTCAGAGAGCAGTAAAGACTAGAAACATTGTCTTTCTATATTGAAATTTCACCAGCCGCTTGATTTCTACTTAGAAATTTACTCCTCTTCCCACACAATGGGAGTGTTGATCCTGCTTCCACTTGAGTTTGTATCAGCCATTTTCATGACATCAGAGATCTAGTGAGATGGACTCTCCCGGAGGGCTGACGTGAGACGTCTTTCTTGCAGGAGCTGTCCCAGATGCAGAACCACGTCAGTGACACATCTGTGGTCCTGTCCATGGACAACAACCGTGACTTGGACCTGGACAGCATCATCGCTGAGGTCCGTGCACAATATGAGGAGATCGCCCAGAGGAGCAAGGCTGAGGTGGAGGCCTGGTACCAGACCAAGGTGAGTAACGGGATGTGTCAGAGGATGGGGTGGCTCTGGGGTTCCACTTTAGTGACTGAACAGGTGATCATCAGCTGGAACTCGAGAGAATTCAAGAGAACTCATTCAGAGATGAGCAGCTTCTCCCAGGTATCATTGATCCTGGTGTGATTTGGACTTGCTTGACATTTTGTGTTATCCTTACCATTTGTGGCTACTCTTACTGGACCCTACCTAGATACCCTTGACCTATATTGTTCCCTGTGTCTGCTTGGGTATTAGGTCCAGCAGCTTCAGACCTCAGTTGACCAACATGGGGACAACCTGAAAAGCACCAAGAATGAGATCTCGGAGCTCAACAGGATGATCCAGAGGCTGCGGGTAGAGATTGAGAATGTCAAGAAGCAGGTGGGCACCACTTCTTTCCTGCTGAAGAGCAGGCCCAAAGCCTTGGGTAGACATCTTTATGGTGGGCAAGCAGATAGAGCATTGGGCCAAAAGACCCTGAGCTTGTCTGCGGGGCATTTGTAGCTCATTACACAAGCCACAACTAGATTTTCTCAGCAGTGACCTCGCTGATGCGACAGGTCGCCCTAGTACACGGATTTCCTTGCTCTTCTTTACTGTTTTTGTTCATCTTTATCTTGTCAGTATGATGGAGCCCTTGGTGGGCTCTGGTTGGAATAAATGAAAATCTTGAGAGCTAGAGAAGGTGGTGAGATGGACAGATAGAATACTAATACCCTAGCTCAAGGATAGGTGGCCCAGGAGAGAGGACAGGTGCAAAGATCTTGAGAGCAAGGCACTGATGCTTTTGTCCACTGCCTTTGTCCCCAGTGCCAGACTCTGCAGACATCTGTGGCTGATGCCGAGCAGCGTGGGGAGCTGGCCCTCAAAGATGCCTATAGTAAGCGCACAGAGCTGGAGGTTGCTCTGCAGAAGGCCAAGGAGGAGCTGGCCCGGATGCTGCGCGAGTACCAGCAGCTCCTGAGTGTGAAGCTGGCCCTGGACATTGAGATCGCCACCTACCGCAAGCTGCTGGAGGGAGAGGAGTGCAGGTGAAGGGGGAAAGCAGATGGGAACCTGAGGGAGAGAGAGGCCCAGGGCCCTGAGTTTGGGCCTGTACTGGTTTGTTTGCATCAGTGTTGTCCTGGTACATTAAGAACCCAGATGGTGCAGTTAACAGCATTGCATTCAGCCTTAGAATTTGGCTGCTCAGGAATAGGAGAGGTGCATGACAACTGCTTATTGAGAGAAGGGTAGCTCTTGGCTTGCTGTGAGTCATAGCTTTTTCTCCCCCACAGGATGTCTGGAGAGTGCCAGAGTGCTGTGAGCATCTGTAAGTACCTTATGTCCTTGCCATGCTGCCCCTTCACCCTAATCTGGCCTGAGGGCTGTGGGCACTGGGAAATAACTTTGTCCTTCACTTCTCCTACAGCGGTAGTTGGTGGTAGTGTCAGCAGTGGAGGCATCAGCGGAGGATTAGGCATCAATGGAGGATTTGGCCTAGGTGCTGGTTTTGGCTCTGGCTCTGGAAGTGGCTTTGGGTTTAGTGGCGGTGTCAGTGGCAGTTCTGGAGGAAAGACAATCTCTACCACTACTACTCTGACCAGAAGATCTCAACGATAGAGGAGATGAGGTCTCTACAGGCCTCTGAGTCCAGCCGGGCTCAGCCCTTGTGCCTGTGATCCATCGCTTCACCTCTACCCTCCCTTCCTGATGCTCGTCTTACCAAGGTCACCTCCACTCTCCCCTGGGCTCTCTCTGCTCCAAGATGTTCTTCTCGGCTGGGACATGGACTCTGTCCTCTTGGAGTTTGGTGGATTCTTCTCAACTTGGGCCTCAAGACCTACCTGGAATGAGAGCACCTTCTGCTTTCACCTCCCATGGACAGAGGAGAAAATGATCAGGAGCTCCATCTCCAGGACTGTCAGCATTATACAAGTGGCCATCCCAGACCAATCTCCCCCTACCAGATATCTATGGACATCAGAATCAAACTCATTGTCCATCACCTGGCAGCACCTGGCTCTGCGAGGTCAGGACATTTAGCTCAGTTCATTCTTTCTGTTCAGCTTCCGGTGACTCTTCAATAAAAGGCTTCTATCATTCATTCTGAGCAATTGTCTTTGTTCTCTGGGGAGAAGGCTTTAGACTCATCTTTCTAAGTGAAAGTGGAAACTGGGGTTCTTGAAGGATCTGTCTATGCAGATCAAGGCCAGTTTTTTAGGTCTCTCCTTCCTAGATGCACAGCTTACTGAGAGTAGAGTACAGTGTATGGAGCCTGAAGCCTGCCTACAGGGCAGGGTAAATTCAAGGGACAACCAACAGTTATGCAAAAGATGCCCAGTATAGGGCAACCCGGGACAGCACTGTCTCAGGGCTGAGCCTGGAGGAAAGAGTTCAAGTGTGGAGGTGGGGGCCTTTGACAGATATGACAAGAGGCAGTCTGGGCTCTTCACTGAATGAAGAGCAAGAGCTGTAGAATCCATGAAGAATGCTTCTATCCAGTGTCTAGCGAGGCCAGAGATTATTGTTGGCACATTGATGAAGGCGGGAGAGGACAGTTGGGGGACATTTAGGTGTAGCCTTTGAGGTCCTTCTATTTCTAACCTGGGCCAAATCCAAGAGTAGCACAGTGTCTCTCTTTCCATAGAAACACCACACAGCTTCACATCTGTAACCTGACCCAAATCCCTTCTGCTATAGGTGCAGAATTTACTCTTTCCCCTGGCCACCAAATGGTGCTTCCCCCTTGACAGCCAGGGAGTTCATTCTGACTCTACTTTCTCCATACAGTGTCCATGAGGGCCTGACTGTGTGCAGATGGGAGGCTTAAGGGTTGCCCAAGGCTGGTTCTGCCCATGGGGCCTCTGAGGCAGGTGTTGCACTCCCTTGATCTGGGAAGGCAGGGACAAAGAGGTAAGGGTTAATCTGTGGGGCTTGTGCTCTCAGTGAAGGGACATTCTGCCAGGAGGAGTGGCTCTTAGGCCAGATGGCTCTGTCCCTCACAAGCCCAGCCCTAATCTCTCCATTGTCTGCCCTGGGCTTATTGCCCCATGTGTCAGAACAGGACGAGTTTGCAGCCTTGGGAGCCAGTTGGATGACTTTGACTTCTCCTGCCACTGCACCCCAGTCCTGGGAAACATCCACCTCGGCTCATTTATGAGTTTCTCTGCGTAGGGAGGGGAGATAAAGGTTGGAAGCAGAAGTGGTACTTCTCAAGGTCACCCTTCAAAACTGCAGCTGTGATGCCTCCTATTTCTATGCTCCCTGAGAGTGAGCATAGTGTGGGAAGTGTGAGAAGTGTGGCAGTGGCCAGCTTGCGTGGGGCTGCTGGGTCTTTCATGACCTCTTCAGTTGCACTGAAACATTTACCCAGCAAAGTAGGCTGTAGATGAGATTTTTGTCAGTATGCGTCCAAATCAGAGTGATTTTGTATGCAGGCAAGTGGCTGTGTGCTTGTGTTTTTTTGTTTATGTAAGAAGGCTCCTGTTTGACATAAAAGAGGGACCCCGCCCCCCACTGGCAGCCACATTGGCCTTTACTTCCAGTGCAGTCCAGGGGAATGGATCTGGCCAGGATCAAGTGGCCAGGAGTTGGCCGGCCAGACCAAGGCGATTGTTTGAGGGGAAATGCACTGCTGAGATCTTTTTAGACCCTTTGAGCTGATTTCTGGTCAGTGATTCATGTTTGTGAGAACTAGCGAGACACAGTTGCATTAATTGCCTGGTGGAGGCCCCATGATCCATTTTATTCTAAATCATCACTTCTAGGTATATTGAAGTCCTTTTCCCAGCAGGAGGGTCCAACTGCAGGTTGGCAGATCAACTCAGCTTACAAGGCTTCTGCCCTGACCCTCACTCCTAGGCTTGGGCTTTCATCCCTGGTCATTGTCCCACCAGTGGTTTGGCTCAGGTCCCTCCTGGCTTCTAAGCTGCTGCTACTCCGGCATCAGTCTTCCCCAAGACCCTCTGTGCTAAGTCGAGCCCTCTCAGTTCCAGAAGATGCTCAGTGACACTTCTGAAGTCTTCCTCCCATTGCCAGCAAAGCCGGAAGGATATAGTAAAGAGGACGTACTTAATAATGTTTCACTATGGGATTTTGGTTTAGCTTTGGGGTCCAGGCCCTGGGTCCTAAAACCAGGGAATCTAGCTCAGATATTAGGACATCAGCTACCTATGGAGGTAACCGAGGGAACTGTGTCACAGTGTGCCCCTCAGGACATGATCAGAGCAGGCCAAGCCAGGAACAAAGGGACAGAGCAGGCTGAGAGAAAGAAGCCATTTTTAGCACTTGCTTCAGGTTTTATTATTATTATTATTATTATTATTATTATTATTATTATTATTACTTTGCCACATTGCAGGCAGGGTCTGAACAGTCATCTCTATCCCATGGAGAGAATGCTGAGAGCAGAGAGTATGGCCTTAGAGAGTCTTGGTGCTAGGAGTCCCAGGTCTCAGGCTCATTGCTGCCCATGGTTTCCTGGTTGACTCTGGGTGGAGTTGACTCTGGCAAGTTGTTTTGCATCTTCAAAAATGCTTTTTTTTTGAGACAGTGTCTCACTATGCAATTCAGGCTGGCCTTAAACTCACTATGTAGCCCAGGCTGGCCTTGAACTTGCAGCGATCCTCCTGTCTCAGCCTCCTGAGTGCTGGGATTACCTGCATGTGCCATTGCGCCTGGCTTGCATCGGTAATTTTTCTACTTCAAGAGCTGTGAATTTGATCCTCAGTAATTTGAAGGCTGATGAGAAGTTAAATAAGCTAGGAAGAGGATTTCCTGAGAAAGCATTTTGACTGCCTTTTGCCAGATATCTGAACACCATCCATCCATCCACCCATCCACCTACCCATTTACCTACCCACTCATTCACTTACTCAACAAACCACCCATCTAAGAAATCTTGAATGGCAAGGGCCAAGGCTACACTCATCTTGATATGCAAAGTCTCTGTGCTTGTGCTTACTTGAAGGTAGTTGTTTAAAAATATTGATAAATGAATGAATAAATTCTGAGTCTCTATCAAGTCTGTACTAGGCAATGGAGATCGAAATATAAACACGAATTGAATGTGTTTCACGATGTTTTCAATATAGAGGTCACAGCGAGATATAAATGACTGGTAACCAAACAAATGGATGAATCCTCTGGGAGTTACAGACAAAGGTCACAGCAGTCCAGAGGTGAGGAAAATTGCTTCTCTTGGGTGAGGGCTTGGCAATCATAGGAGCCTTCGTGAGGGAAGTGATATCTAAAAGGGGTGTGGAAGAACGGGCAGGGCTTGGATGGAGAGATGGAGGCAAGTGTCCTGCACACATACAAAATACTGATGTTCTATCTTTAAAGAGAGTGGTCAGGGCAATGGTAGATGGAGGCATGGAGCTCTCAAAGCACTAAAGAGACATATAGTTTTTGACCAGGGATTCAAAGACAGTTCCATGATGGAGGTGAGGTAGTGGGTACTCTGGAGTGAGAGGGAGGACAGGGTTCTAGGCAGCAAGAATGCTAGAGGATCAGAGATGCAGGAGTTCCAGGACTTTGACCCACTCCAAGTGGGTCAAAGAGTTGTTACAGGGCAATAAATTCACTCTATGAAATCCTTAAAAGAGGAGTATATCTGGGTAAAGTGTGCCACAGGCAGAGGGAGCCACAAGTGCAAAGGCCCGGCAGCAAGAGTGTGGAGAGTATCTGAGGAACCACAAGGGGCCAGTGTGGCTGAAGCAGAGTGGAATGCGCATAAAGCCAAGCAGCTCAGCATCACTCCAGAATTAGGGTAGGGAGTGGAGGGAGGAGTCCGGAGAGGGAGGCTGTGGCCAGGCTGTGGAGGATCATGGTTTGGCCCCCTGTCCGATTTGTTAAGAGTTTGAGCTTTGTATTCAAAGACCAAATGATCTCAGGAGAGCTGGGGAGGAAGCTCTGGGCCACCTGAGCTTTTGGGGTGTGGCCTTGAAGCCCATATACTTTGGACACAAGCCCGGGAGCCAGCACAAGTGCACTTCACTCCCTATCCACGTGGCCAACACCACTTCCTTTCCCACTCTCGTTTGCTAGGAGGCCATGTTGCTGGGAGCAAGAGGATTGCTGTCATTGCTTTGTCTCCTGGCAGAATCTTCTCTCACTCCCGACATTGGTATTGACTCTTGTTACTTGTCTAGCACCTTCGATATGCTAGGGTCTATGAGTTGCTATTTCTAAATCTCCTTAAATTACCCACAGTGTCCCCTGGCATCCTGCCACAATCACCACCTCTGGTTTATGTCTAGGCAGAGTCTCTCAGATTCCTTCATGGAGAAAGATCTGTAATGTACGTTGCAAATGATTTCATGGGAAAATAAATTTAAATTGCTTCTTAACTTCCTCTTCAGGTTAAATAACCATTTAATGATGTTTCTACTTTTCCTTTTCTCTTTTGTTTCCAGCAATCTATTTAATAATATCCTAAGGTCTTCGTGAATTCTCCTTTGAGGAGGAGGCAGTGGTTCCTGCTCTTTCAGGCCTCTGGTTTGAAAAGTAAGGTGATTTATGCGCACACACATGCACGTGCACATACACACACGCATGTGCACACACACACACCCAACACGATTCAGCACAAATACAAGTGGACATCTCTTGTCCAGTACTTAATGAACCTCAGGTTTGGGGTTAGGTTTAAGCTAGCTCTATTTTCTCAAATTATTTATTAGGTGTTCCAAGGACAGAGGTGTGGTCCAATGTTAAGACTTTTCACTCCCTGTCTCTTCCCTTCTTTCACCTTCTCTTACGTCTCTGGTGAGAGTTGATGTGCAGTTGCTTTGCTCTCCGTCCCCTCCAGGACTAGACCCTGCCTTTTCTCCGTGTCTGTCTCCTGACCCCCAGAATAATATAGATTATGCCCTTTCTTCTATTCCTTCTGCTTTCTGCTGGAGGGTCCCAGGCTTGCAACTGCCTCATGACAATGGCAACTGACATCATCACAATGGTGACCTCGCTTCTCAAAAATTCTTCTCCAAGTTCACCCTTTTGAAGGAACAGGCATGGATCATAGCCAGCAGACTCTGACAATGGCTGAGATCTTCTCCAGTGAGGGACACTGAGGTACCCTGAT